GGGTGCCTGGGACAAGCGCGGAAGAATAGAGGGTCCAGCATGCTATGTTAGAAAACACAGATGCCTCTCCCATGACTTGCTTTAGGTGATGCTAAAATGGTAAAACTCAATAGAAAGAGACAAATACAGTGGTTCGCTAAAGAATGCTGACACTTTCAGCTTTGTATTTTATATGCTTTTCTTTGTCTACCTGCCACCCTCATTGTTGTCTTTTTGGGTTTTGACTTTGTTTTCTTTCTGTCGATGTACTTTGCATCACCACCTAGCACAGGGCTTTGCAAATAGGAAATTCTCTCACCGGTTTTTGAACGGACAAGTTCACGTCTGCAATGGGGAGTGATTCTGGCGGCATCTCTTCCTTAACCTGCTGAGGTTTAGTTTTCTTATCTGTAAAATGGGAATAGCATTCCCTGCTTTTTCTCCCTCAGAGAATTCTTCTGCATTTGAAAAATACATAAGAGGGCTTTGTAGTTTGTGCAGCATGACACAGATATAAAGGCTTATTAAATGGCTTGGAACATTCCATAGAAAGAAAAAACTGCCAGCCCAGATATTGTTAGAAATGTTCTTAGACATCGACACTCCTCATTTTTCACATGTGCTTTTCAAAAAACCTGTTTTCTCCTGATTGGTGTGGGAGATTATGGGAAAATTTAAATCTTCCAACTGACATACTACTGTTAGCACTTGACTAATTAAGGACATCCTCGGACCAAAATAATCCTTTATGCAATTTTGGTCCCAAAGCCTGCACTCTCACAAACCTGGTTCGCAAGCCAAGCTGCTTGGCTTGATGCCTGCAAAACTTGTGCTGGAGGACTTGGCAGTCTTCTTTGGAACTGCATGGACCAAACCCTTCTCATCAAATTGTGCACTGGGGATAGTTCTTACTCCACCCACCATGATGGTGTCAAACTCCGGAAACAGGAGCGGGGAGTCTTCGACCGACACCTGGCTTCAGGTCTGGGGTCCTGATGGTCACGTGGTTTGAAAGCAGCATTTTACCTGTAGCTCTGCCCCCTGAGGACAGGCTGTTTGGCTAAATATACCCCATTCTGAGGGCAGGTATAGAGTTTAGGTATAGACAATGTTTTTGTCTTTGTGGGGTGGGAAACCCCTGTAATGGATAGGCTTTCTGGAAGGTTAAAAACGTCTTTCTTTTTTCTTTAGCTATGCTTGTGACACATCCTAATAATCAAATGGGTTTCCTTGCTTACCACTAAGACAACTGTTCTCTTCCTTAAATCCCTAAACACTGTCTTTTCCTTAGCTTCTATATACATGGGCAAGTTTGTGGCAGAGAAACTGAAATGTTGGGGGGAAAAGTACCTATGTTTGACAAATTTATTTATTTTTTGGTGATAAACTAGGTACTTGCATTTTGCCTGGTTCTTGCATACTGGAGAAAGTTTCAGTTGTTTTTTGGTAGATTCTTTACTCTGCAGACAGTAAGAATATGAACACAATTTTTAAAGGACTATAATCACTGAAATATCTGATCTAAAGAGACGAGAGTGAATCAGCTGTTGTGTCTGAGTTTGTTTCCCACCTGTTAACAAAAAATGCCATTCTTAATCCAGTTCAGTATTGGATTAACTTTAAAAAAAGATATGTCTTCTGGGTTTATGAAGTTTGTAGTTACATTGGATAATACTGTGCACTGAAAGGAAATAAAGACAGATAGGAATTTTTCTGCTTTAATTTTTCCATTTGTCTTTTGTACGAGTTTATAGAAAAGAGACTTAAAACCAATCCTAGCAAGAAGGCAACCTCCTCTAAAGATGCCCAGAGTGTTTAAATTTCCCTTTTGTCACATATTTCACGTGTGGGGGGAGAAATCTGCAACACTCGTGGTACATATGTCTTTCCATGATTTGAATCAATTTGTTTAGAAGTTTTCTGCCCTTCTTTTTAAAATTAGTTTTTATTAACATAACATTGTATAGTTGATTTACAGTGTTGTGTTAGTTTCTGCTGTACAGCAAAGTGAACCAGTTATACCTATACATACATCCACTCTTTTTTTATATTTCTTTTGGTTTTTTTTTTGCGGTATGTGGGCCTCTCACTGTTGTGGCCTCTCCCGCTGCGGAGCACAGGCTCCGGACACGCAGGCCCAACGGCCATGGCCCATGGGCCCAGCCGCTCCACGGCATGTGGGATCCTCCTGGACCGGGGCACGAACCCGCGTCCCCTGCATCGGCAGGCGGACTGTCAGCCACTGCGCCACCAGGGAAGCCCCATCCACTCTTTTTTACATTCTTTTCCCATGTAGGCCATCACAGAGCACTGAGTAGAGTTCCCTGTGCTATACAGTAGGTCCTCATTAGTTATGTATTTTATATATAGTAGTGTGTATATGTCAATTCCAATCTCCCAACCGATTTATCCCCCCCCCCCCATCCTTTTTATCTAGGATTGGTGTTTCACATTTTACTGAAGTCTTAATTATACGGGCATTTCTTAACTTGGACGTTTGAGCTGCCATTTTCCTTTAGTGACTGTTGGTTTTTCTGGCCTCTCTACTTGAAGTGTGACCCTGGCATCTTCACTGTTTGCCTTCCCGCGCCTCACCGCAACTTTAAGAAAACACGTCAGGCTGAATTTGTCCAAATCTTGGTTCCACCACTAGTAGCTGTGATATTTACTGAGCAAATTAAAATAAGTCTCACAGAGCCTTAGTTTTCTCAAGTAGAAACTGAGGCTAGGAATTGTCCTGAGAACTAAATTGGAGAATACATATAAATCACCTGCAGTCGGGACTCACACAACACTGGTGATCAGTCGGTGGTCACAATTGATATTAGCAAATATTGTCTTCTGTCATAATTGGGCATCTTTACTGAGAGCTGAGTTGCCTCCTTGGGATAATGGTTTTGTACCCAGAGAGCAACAAGGAGTGCACAGTGTCTTTACACAAAGGCCACATTCTCTAACGACTTGCCTTGGACTTAGACTTGTCCTCCCTCATCCACAGCTTTGCTCTCTGAGGTTTGTTACCCTCAATCCAAAAATATTAAATGGAAAGTTCTAGAAATAAACAGTTGTTAAGTTTTAGATTCCACGCCATTCTCAGCGTGATGAAGTCTCACCATCCTGCTCCAGCCCACTGCAAGTCACCCCTTCGTCCAGCGTTTCCCACCCATTTGTCACTTAGTCGCCATCTCAGTTGTGTCTTAGTATCACAGTGCTCGTGTTCACGTATTACACCTTAGGTAAAATAGTAACATCTATTTTACTTAATGATGGCCCCAAAGCGCAAGACGAGTGATGCCGGCAATTTGGATGTGCCACGGAGAAGCCATATAAAGTGCCTCTTTTAAGAGAGAAGGTGAGGGCTTCCCTGGTGGCGCAGTGGTTGACAGTCCGCCTGCCGATGCAGGGAACACAGGTTTGTGCCGCGGTCCGGGAAGATCCCGCATGCAGCGGAGTGGCTGGGCCCATGAGCCACGGCCGCTGAGCCTGCGCGTCCGGAGCCTGTGCTCCACAAAGGGAGAGGCCACAGCAGTGAGAGGCCCGCCTACTGCAAAAAAAAAAAGAGAGAGAGAGAGAGAAGATGAAAGTTCTCAACGTAATAAGAAAAGACAAAAAAAATCACGTGATGAAGTTGCTAAGATCTATGGGAAGAAGGAATCAAGAAAAAAGAAGTTCATGCTAATTTTGCTGTCATACCTCGAGTGGAAAAAGTTATGGCCATAGTGCATGATAAGTGCTTATTTAAGATGGAAAAGGCATTAAATATGTCTGGCAAGATATTTTGAGAGAGAGAGACCACACTCACATAACTTACATTATAGTAATTGTTGTAATTGTTCTCTTTTCTTGTTATTATCGTTAATCTCTTACCGTGCCTAATTTAGAAATTACACTTTGTCTTAGGTATGTATGTATAGGAAAAAAACATAGTATATTTAGGATTCAGTAGGCATCCACTAGGGATCTTGGAACGTATCCCCTGTGGATAAGGGGGGACTACTATATATCTCTCTCTTTTTTTTTTAATTTGATGTTTAGTACTTTCAGATTCAGAACTTTTCTTTGGTCTGCCTAGGCAACATTTTCTCCAAGACAAACATAAGAAAGCCCAGACCTTTCAGGCCTTAAACCAAGCTAGAGGTTAGGAATCCAGTATGAGAAACACCTAACTTTGAATGGGACTTCTCAGGAGAATTTTAACCATAAGGCAAAGCTTCTGAAAAGTGGCGAGTTTTTTTCCCCTCTCCCTCAAAGAGGCCTATCTTATTGGAAAGGCCACTTTTGAAGAGTTTCAATACCTGAATGAGTCCAAGGAGTGTGAATCTGTAAAATGCTTTTTGGGTTTTGAGTGTAAGGGTTTTCAGCACGAATTACTTCAGGGGGGCCTATTGGGAATGTGTGTCATCTGATAGACTGAATTTGCAGAATATTTCTCTAAGAGTGTAACACACAACACAGAGCCTGCACATACTAAAATTTAATGTTACACGCTCAACAGAATGACTTACCAGTTTTTGAGCAAAACATCCAGATATAATCACAGAAATTCAACCATAAATTCTAGGTTCACCTGAAAATAATTGTTCTCTTCTAAGGGGAAAAAGATAACATATAGAGAACAATACTGGTTCTCAGAACAAAACTTGAATTTGTTTTTCTCAAGTTTTTAATTTAATTTTTATTTTATATTGGACTGTTGTTGATTGTAAAATGCTGTGTCAGTTTCAGGTGTACAGCAGCAAAGTGGTTCCGTTATCCATATACATACATCTCTTCTCTTTCAGATTCCTTTTCCGTCTAGGCTGTTAGAGAATAGTGATAGAGTTCTCTGTGTTCTACAGTTCCGTATTCAAAAACTAGGCAATTGGACCATTTCTAAGGGGTAACTTGAGTGAAAGGAAGTGACAACTGTTTATAGATTTTGGCAACACTGAAGGCAGGGCCCTTCTCCTAATATACAACAACTGTGCTAACAGCTGCTTTTTTCTTTCTCCCCGGCTCCCTCCTAAATATCCTTCTACCAGGTTTTTGAGTCATGATGCAAGAATCTGGGACTGAGACGAAAAGTAACGGTTCAGCCATCCAGAATGGGTCAAGCGGCGGCAACCACTTATTAGAGTGCGGCGGCCTCCGGGAAGGGCGGCCCAACGGGGAGACGCCGGCCGTGGACGTGGGGGCGGCCGATCTGGCCCACGTGCAGCAGCAGCAGGTACTAAGCTCTGGAGCGGGGGCTGTGGAGGGCGGTGGGTGCCGATGCTACTGCTTACCCTGACGTTTGACCGCTGCGAATGTCTGGTGCTCGCCAGCTCTCTGACTGTAAGCACCATCTTTGAAGCCACTAGCGCACCAGGGCCCCAGTGACTGGCTTTAAGAGACGGAACTGCCAAGGGCTTGAGAAGTAGAGTCTTGGAAGCCCCCTCTGTCTTGGGGAATGGTGGTTGAAAATGAGGTTGGGTGGACCTCTGGCCACTTCCTTTGAGCCTCTAATGTGTCAGCCTAAAGTTTAACTACTTGCAATTAAACAGCGCTTTGGAGAAATGGTTCCCAGTGCTTGAATCAAAAAATAAATACATAGACTTATTAAGCCTTATGATGAGAGAAACAAAATAAGGGATCAAGGATAAAAGAGAAATGAGGGCTATAAGAGAGAAAAGTAGGTGACTCAGGAGAATAGAAATAAATGGAAATACCCAAGCAGAATTGGGTAAATAACAAGACATCAGTAACATAGTCATCGGTGTAAGAAACTGCTTGCTGCTACCTGGAGAAATTTAGGGAGATGGGCCACTTACAGATGTTTCTTACATACATATGGCAGTTGGTATGTGACTAAATCCAGTTAATGTTTTAAATTCTCTCTTAGTGGTGGCTCCCCAAAATGCACGTAAGTTGCGACGTATTCATTCTGTTATATCCTTTGTAGGCATTTAAGTGGGTACCTGGGAGTGACTGGTAAAATATTTCCAAATGGTAAAGGGTGTGACCCAGAAAATGGCATTGTGTGGCCAGTGTTGATGCAGATTCAAATAAATGAATAGCATTTGCTTGAAGATAGGCATTGTTTTCCCAGCCTCTCTTGTAATTAGGAAATATTGTTTGTTTTTGTTAATGGATGATTTTTGTTGCATTTTAGTGTGTGATTCATTTATTCAGTACAAAGTAATGTTGCCATTTGGAAAAAGGTGTAAAAAGAATGGTGCATCTTTGGACTTTCTGAGTGAAACGGAAATTGTGCTGGGGGCTGAGGGAAGAGAAAGAAAAACACAAACCTTTTCTCAAACCGTTTTCTTGGAATCTATATCAGAGAAGCCAAGGCAGTCCCTCCTTGTTTTAGGGATATAGCCTTTGACAGGCTCTAAAACATGTATTATTTTCTTCTTACTAAGAATTTTTTACAAATAAGGAACCATTAGATTGTTAGTCTATCAGAAGTTGGTGGAACCAGCATGAGACAATGGAATCTGTCAGGGAAAGATACAACAGAGAGAAAGAGAAGGAAACTAACAGACAAGCTAAGGTCTTAATTCAGAGGACTTGAGGTGATTTGATCTCTCTTTTAGTGGCAGCCCAAATCCAATAGTGCCTGCTTCCTGGGCATCACATCAGCTGGCATTTACGATGTATGTTGTGTATAAACTTTGGGCACTTGCATTAGTGCAAATGGCCAAATTCCACCCAATGCGGTTATTGACAAAACCTATCAGTATATGGTAGAAGGGTATCCATGTGTTTGTGTGTGTATTTGTTCATTTGATGTTCTCAGATGTTTTTGGTTCTATTGAGAATAAATAGTTGGTAATTTGGTTTGCCGTTTTCTGTGCCCTTACAGGCCAAGGTCCAAGGTCAACTGTTTCTTTTTTTTTTTCTTTTCTTTTTTTTTTTTTTTTTTTTA